CGCTCCCCCCTCCCTCATGAACCCTTGATAATTTATAAATTATTATTTTATCATGTCTTACACTGTCTGATGTCTCCTTTCACCCACTTTTCTGTTGTCCGTCCCCCAGGGAGGATCTACATATAGACCTTCCACTTTAGGAGAAAAATAACTCCGCTCATCCTGGGAGGGGAGACAAGGGAAGGGGACACCCCAGGTGCTCTGTGGCCAAGGAGCCCTCAGGACACTGCCCCGCAGTCCTGCCAGGACCAAGAGGTCCCACCAGCCTTTCTTCAGATGTGGAGAGCTGTTGGTTCTGGAAGAGAAGTGACTGTCCAGTGAGCCTCCCCCGACCCTTCAGCCACAGACAACCCCTCTGAAGGCAGTGCTCACTGCAGCATGGGCAGGAGCGCCCCCGGGTTATGTGTTGGTGCAATACCCCACCCCACCCCACCCCCGGTTTTAACAGTTGCTGTCAGAGCCACCTCTGATTCATAGCGACCTCTCTTGTGTCTGAGTAGCTCTGTGCTCACCAGCATTTTCAATGGCTGGCCTTTCAGACATAGGTCACCTGAAGCAGGTTAGCGACTTGCACACCCCAGGCCCCATCACATCTGTTGGTATGGAGTCGTTTCCGACTCAGGACTACCCCAACCCTGGATTCTCAGTGGGCAAAGGCCAACTGAGAGCGCCTTAGGCTGTTCAACGGCTAAATTTCCCCAAACTTCATCATCACCTGAGACAAGCACCTTAGCTGTTTGCATGACCCAGGGGCCCCACGACCAGATTACTGACCTGGAACTCCAGGTTGGGGGTTGCCTCGCCAAGAAACTGGTAGCAAAGGACTTGAACCTCTGCCTCTGCCTCACCCTTCCCTTTACCCACACCCTCCCCTCTTCCATCTTGCCTCTCTCCTCTGCCCGAGGAAGTGCTAACCTCGCACAGCTGGGCTTGGTTGGGTTCAGTAGTGATTTCACCATTAGCACACCTGAGCCCAGGTTTTTGGCAGGCAATGAGATTGCACACCCCGCCCCTGATTGGCATGCCTGGTCCCGTGATTCCACCGTCCCGTGCCTTAGAAACCTAGACAACATCGGGGGCTCCTCGGGTTTTTCTGAAGTCCCTTGGGCAGCGGGCAGTAGCCACCAGCCTCTGGTTGGCTCTCACCTGAAGGCAGCCAGCGTGCACCTGTGTACTTGCAGATGGCTTAGCAAACAACTGGTTTACCACTGGAGGTCCACTCACCGGAGCTGGTTAGCAAAGGATTCACCATCTTCCTCCAGGTAATTGACCCTGATCCCATGTTCTGGGTCCTGTGTTGGCCGGGAGGCATTTCACTGCGCCAAACCCTAGCTACTTCTTTCCAAAGAGTGGGTGGGGCAGGCAGTGTTAGTAATGCCCCTGTTTACCTAGCAGCCTAGAGGAAGCTGGCATTTTGCAGAGGCTGACAGTGGGGAGAGAATCCCTGACCCTACGCTCCCACTGCTAGGTTCTGGAAGACTTAAGGCTCCTAACGCCCCTGCTTCCTGCTCACTCTCTACTTCCCTTTCTGTTTCCCTCTTTCCTTCCTTTCTCCTGTCATTCCTTCTCCCCTGCCTTCCTGCCTCCGTCCCTCCGCCTTTCTTTCTTGTGATGAGTTATCAGGCAGGTCAGGCATGTGGAACGCCACGGGCTGCTTGCTGTTCCACTTTTGCAGTCGGCTGGAGCTCCACTCGGCTGATTCTCTGCACACAGACATGGCCGCGCTCCAGAGCACAGGGACCGCCAGAATGACTGTAGAGCAAGGAGGTATGAGCAGGCAGTCGATTGTACCCAGTGCTCCTGGTCCCTGCTGTAGGGCCCACTGGCAAAGAATACTGTGAAAATCCAGTGTCAGGAAGGGCTGGATCCAGGTGCTCAGGGTTGGCTTCGCTAGTGACCCTGTCATCTCCAAGCTTAGGTGACCTCAGCAGGAAGAGACCTCCCTTCCTCCTTCCCCAAACCACAATTCACCACAAGTCATAGATTCTTAGACGCTCTCCTTTCCTCGCTCACGTATTCTAACAACCCAGGAATTGAAATGTACTTACTGCTGATGGCTTCTTACAACTAGGATGGATAATGCTTTTATTTACTTATTTGTTTATTTTTGCACCTTAGATAAACTTTTTTAAAGTCTCTGGTGATGATGGCAACAAGTGTACATATGTGGTTGACACAATGGAGGATGGATGGATTGTCATAAGAGTTGTACGAGTCCCCGATAAAATTATTTTTAA